AGCTATAAGGAGCTGTTCTCTGCTCCTGGCCTGTTAAGTGTTTGAAAATCCTGGTTTAGCATTAGCCTCAGATAGCGAGCTAAGTCAAACAGCCGGCGGACACATTTTTACAACTTCATGCTGCACAGCTCATCAACATGAACTCCACAATTAGCAGTTAGACAGCAGCAAGGTGCGCTCATTTTATACGACCCTCGCGGGCGGTGGGAAAACACACCTGTAACTCCATCTCATTAAACAGCAAGAGGTTCTACCTGTGTACAGTAAATCTACACAACATTTTCTTCTTCTTTGTTATCGATTAATATTTTCAACTGGTCAAATTGTTACCACCAAGTAATCAATAAATAAATAACAACATTTCCAGCCAAAAAAAGAAAGTTTGTGCTACTTCAGCAACACAAACACGGTGTCATGGATCTACAATTAAACTGTATCCCATTTGTAATATATTCAAATATACCACAGTGAAAACCCCTAAATGTTCAAATGCAAGAGTTGCAGAATGTTTTGAAGCCACAGAGACATCCAGGAAACTTTAGAATCTTTTGTTCTGTGACCATTATGTGCCTCATAAATGTTTCAAACTAAACCATAGAAGTCCACAAGTTCTTCATCACCAGTTCTTTATGTTTGATCCTTATATCCATCCCGCCATTTATGGTGCTTTTGCTCAGATGGATATTAAAACCCTTACTCAGCAGACAGTGAAGCATCACTGAAACTCTGTCCTTTTATACAAAGTTTAACAAACACAGGAGCTTTAAAACACTGCAGTCAGTTTAAAAATGAAGTGTTCCAATGATTTTGTTGTCATAAAGGGCAACAAATTGACTGATGTTTGGCTGTTTATTGGAAATTCACAATGACAGATAAGAATTTAAAGTAGCAGCAGGACGACACTCACAACATGAAGTCTTGTTCCCAACATGGCTGGTCTCCGCGGACAGTTATAGTCGTACTCTTCACATTCTGCACCTTTAAAGTCACGTAGGCGTTGAATTTGTCTGGAACAGAGAGAGAAATTAGTGATTTATATTGTACATTTTTGTTAAAACGTCTTATTCTTCGAACAAGAACAGGTTATTTTTGTTAAATGTATTTGTTTGAAATGTAATCTTGTGTGAAGTGTCTGTGTTAAACAAACTTCTTTGATTCTGTTCTGCTTGTGCTACCCAGAGACTCCATTATTGATCGAACTACAGAAAACAGCTGTAAATGTCCATTATTTTTGGAGAAGTGAAGCATCTCTAGAGCTCAGAAAAGACAAAGGGGAGCTCATAAAGGCTAAAAATCCCAACGTGGCGGATATTTCATACGGCACAGAAATAATTGAACTACCTGAAATGGGAAATAAGGGGAAATAAAGAACACGCTGCCAGCGGGGAATTTAATATTAAACACTAATATACAAGAGATATAGACATCATCCCGGACCCAGCTGCAGGATGTGAACACTAAACACACAGCTTAGGCTCATTTAACCCTCTCTGAGTGCATTTTTCCTTTAAATCACCAAACAATGCAAAGACGATAAAGCAGCGAGGACGGCATACTGCTGCAGAACCATCAAACAGCAGCGATTGAGTGCAAATCAGTTTAAAAGCAATAAACACTTGAGTCATAACTCATGAAGTGGTGATGAATAATTCTGATGTCTTTGCTAATATGAAATATGAGTGAATTGAAGGATTTTAGGGATCAACAAGCACCGTACGATTTCTTTTTCCAACTTTTTCTGACTTCACTGACTTAAAAAGATGAAGAAAGCTACTATCATGTGAAATTATGTTCATATACGGCTAATTTCTTTACAGAATAAGGTTTGTTAAGTGTTTTCTTGCAATGTCTTACATTTTAAATCAGCATCATTTTGCAATCAGTGACCTCAGACGATGATCTCCTTCTAACCTGCCTCAGGAACCACACTGTCACCAGAAACGCATCATAATCGCGCTTTACTTGCTACAAGCGCATAAAACCAATTGAAATATCCAATCAATCTGCATTGTGTTGATGAATAAACAATCTGTGGAGCTGTACATGTCCTGTAAATTCTGTTTTGTGTTGCAAATCAGTTTGATATAAACTCAGGGCTTAAAACAAGCAAACCTTCTGTTCCTGAAATGCGTTTGGGGGAACCTTTTGGTCAATATAGCCAAAAGACAGCTAGCCTGAAAGCTAATTTATTTTTCCAACTTCCTGGAACACAGCATGGTTTCTCCAAAATCCATTCCAAAAGTAAATACATGCAAGTAGGAGCTTAACATTGAAAGTCCCGTATTCACCTTTAATTAGGTCACATGTGTGGAAACAAGGTATTAACTCATAACTATTTTCCCATTATCTATAGATGCTTTTCTACCTTATCCAACATTCTAGCTAACTGCTTCAGCTTTTTTTCAGATTCCTGATACAATTAAAACCAGTTTCCATTACTTTTAGTAGCAACAAATACAGCTTGATGTCGTGTAAACCGTAATTTCTCACAGTCAGGGTTGCGAGATGTCAAAAAAAGTGTTCAGATTCTGAAAATCAGATGCTATTTAAGCCTTTAGCAACAAAGGTAAGAGCAAGGATATGAATAGGATCAGGTACAGATGTATTTTGTTCACTAAAAATGTCTAACTCTTAGTTTTGTCTGTGCTATTAGCTTTGCTGAACGTCTGTTGGACTCAGGCTTAGTCCAAGTTTAGCTCCTTCTCCAGCAGCTGAAGTGATGCCTGACTGCAGGTTCTTGTCTTTTTTTGTTTTTTAAATCTGCTTTCTCAATTACTGTTCTGCTTCAAACCAAATCATGTTGTTTTTACACTACACTTAGACTTTTGGATACTTTTAAAATTGTAAATAAAATCCATTTTTGCACCTTATTTCTTCGACCAGAGCGATTTGCAGGTTTATCATAGTGCACATAGGTTACCTATCATCTATCTAGACATTTTTATTAGCATCCAGTAATAGAGTTCTACTTTGTGCAACAACGCAGCACAAATACTACGATAGAAAATCCCATTTTCAGCTTTTGAATCTTCTAAATATTGGTCATATATGTAAAAAAAAAACATGAGAACAGATGGGAGTGAAGAGAAACTGCACCTTAAGTAAGCGTGTCATGGAACTTTTAATAACGCTCATTTGCAGGAAGATGTCACTATTAACTGGAGAAGAGCTGAACAGAGAACATTTTGTGCCACTTCAGACGGCGGACCAGACTCCCATTACTCTTCCTCGTCACACGCTGACGGCTCTGCTCAGAACTACGCCACCGTTTCCACATTTTCTACGAAGCCGCTCCGAAGAAACTGACACACATCTCTTGGTACAAGATCCGCACATTCTGTAAACTAGGAATATGTTGCTCTTCATGAACCCTTTGCAATATACAAATATATCCTATTTCTGGTACAATTTGTGCCGTATAGACAATCTGTGCAGTAACAATGCTTTGTCAGTATTTCTATTCATCAAAAAATCTGTGCAACACCACTGATATGTGCAATAATTATTGTTGCAGTAGTTATTTTTTGAAGTAGTTCTTATGTATATTTTATTTTTTTATACATTCCCTAAATGCTTGCACCCTCTTTGCGGCTGTAACGCTGCCAATTTTCCCTCAGTGTGACTAATAAAGGGTTATCTTATCTGTTCAGCACTGACCTGCAGCCTTTAACATGTTCTGTCATGTTAAAGAGACATGTAGTTATTCTACAGAGATCAGCTGCTGGACAGTTAATGAACCTCTCTGCTGTAGAAGTTCTCCTCTATTCTAAAAGACGATTATTTCAGAACATGATCAATTCAATTCAATTCAATTTTATTTGTATAGCGCATATTTACAACAACAAGTCATCTCATAGCGCTTCGCAAAGACAGAAACACCCAACAATCCAAAACATCTGGATTCCCTTTAAGCTTCAGCAGTCCGCAAGCAGTCTGCAACAGTGGGAAGGAACTGAAAACCCCCACGCGGGAAAAAAAAAACCTCCGACAAAACCAGGCTCAGGGCCATCTGCCTCCACCGGTTGGGTGG